AAATGTCCGAGTGTTTGCTAGACACCTTATTTTTTAGTATATAAGCCTGGGGAGAAAACCAGCAGGATTGAAGAGATAGATAATTGAGTCAAGCGAACAGTAGGCACTGTAAGTAAAGTGTGTGAATCACTGTGATTTTTAGCATGTGTTATAAAGGTTGTTAAGTTTAAAGTGAATGTGGAAATTCTGTGAATTACAAAGTTTTATTGAGAAAAAATAAACTAGTTTTAATCAAGAAGAGAGCTGTATTGCTGAAGTTCCTCGGAAAGAATTTATACCGGAAATTAACAAACAAGCAGAAATGCAACAGTATATACAGAAGCATCAGCTGAGCTAATTTCTCTGAAAAACTTTTGTTTAACAAATAAACAATAAAAAATTCTGTATTTAATTATAAATAAGTAGTTCAAACACTCAAAATGTTCTTTTGAAGTAAATTGTTTGATATTGTCACCGTATATTGATATATGTATAGTAAAACATTTAACATCAAAGTTTTTAACTTTTACTATATAAGAGCGTAAATTTTTTAGATATAAGGAAATTATAGTGTTAAATGTGTATAACTAACCCCAACTTGAAAGTTAAAGTAAATGCAGGCAGTAATATTTATAACTAATTCAAACTTGAACATGTAAGTCACATTATTGTTAATCTGATTTATGTAAGAGATGTTTATTTATGGTATTATTTTTGCACACAATAATCCTTCTGCCTATGTCCACAGATGTACTGTATTGTTCATTTTAGTTTCTACAGTCCCAGATTTCTGTTATATTTTTGTCATTACTACCGTTACGACAGCAGAAGTCACATGATGCTGGGAGCATGCCTCACTGAGTTTCTCAAATTTTCAGGGAAGCCTCTTTGTTAGTATATAAGCCTGGTGAGAAAACCCAGCGGATGATGATGAATGTATAGTTAAGCGAACAGTAGTTTCAGTTTTTCGGGAAGTATGTGTTTTGTACTCATCTAGAGCAAAGTTATCAAGATTGTGAATCGCTGTGATTTATAGCATGCATTATAAAAGTTGTTAACTTTAAAGTGATGAGAAACGTACTAATTGTGGAATTACCATGTACTAAAAGTTTGTATCAAGAAAGAATAAACTGGAAAGTATTTCCAACGGAAATTAACAAACAAGCAGATACGTAACACTGCTATGCTAATATTCAAACGTTACTTTTTATACAGACTTTTTTTATAATGTTTTTTTTTTTCTTGCACTAGTACTCTTGTCACACTTCGTGTATTTTCTTGTCTTTAATTCTTCAGTTCAGATTTCTAAAGGATTTTTTAATCTTTTCATTTCCATGTTTGCTGTTCATTCTGAAGATTTTTCCTATCTTCCTACATCTGTGCATAACACATGGACACTTCTTTTAAGTTATTTGTAAATCAGACTGACTTTTTTCAGGCCCATTCATTTTGTCTTTTGGATAATTGTCTTGTTGGAGATGTGATACATACAGTATTGGAAA